TCCAAAATGAGCAATTCGTACGAGACTTCCTCTAAAAGTCACATGTCAAGTCCCCAAAACGAGCGTTTCGTACGAGACTTCCTCAAAAACTCACATGTCAAAGTCCGCAAAAGGAACGTTTCGCACGAGACTTCCTCCAAAAGTCCAGCGGAAACACCCATCGGAGCACACACATCACGCAGCCCTGCCAAGCAATTTCGCGATTCCAGCCCCTCCAAACAATCCCAATGTGACAGCGACATTCACCTCTACCACAATTCACAACCTCCCGATTCCCTGCGCCTGCCACGAATCTTTCCGCATCCACACGTCTAACGCGCACAAAGTACTCCGCCTGCCACGAAATGTCACCTCCGTCACACCTCGCAACCTCACGATTCCCTGCGCCTGCCACGAGAATCGCGCTTCCACACCTCAAAAGCCGCACAAAGTCCTGCGCCTGCCACGAAAAGTGACAATATCATCTCATGTGAGCTTCAACAAAATTTGCACCACACCACACGTTTGGAATGATTTCGACCCGTTCTGAGCACACTTCCATCCACCAAAATCGGCATTTCAGCTGAGACTTGTCACGAAAACAGAGCTTCGATGCGACACCCTGAAACGCAAATCCCAATGGCACGGCCACATCCAACACCCCAAAAACACGACTCTCCAAACGCTAATCCTAATGGAACTGCGCAGCAATCTGCAGATCTCACAAAACGCTGCGCCTGTTCAGAGAAACGCATCACGTTTCTTGCGCGACATCTCATTTTCATGCAAATCACAATGGAATAGCGGCGCAAACTGACACGTGACACATCCATGAAAAGTCATTTGCAAAAGCTTCCCCCAATGGCAGCGCCTTAGCGCTCTACTGCGAACGGTTGCGGACGGTTGCGGACGGTTGCGGACGGTTGCGAACTTAGAACCAACAGGTCACGAACAAGGCTCTACCCCCAGACCCCCAAGACTTAAACGAGAACCCTTCGCTACGCATTCGGGAAAAAAAAATGTGAACAAATACGTGAAAAAATAGTGACCCTCAGTGATTCAAAGGTGTTGTATCCTTCAAGCTCTTGCATGGTTTTGGTTGGGTTTACATGGTGGACATGGTGGAGCATCTCCCCGTGTGCAGGCTCGTGTTGCAGGAGTTGAGGATGAGACACTCAGACTATCTACTGAATGGCAGCGTGATCCTAAAAGTCACTCTACAAGCAGCAAAATGCCCCCCTCTGAGGATTTCTAGAGTTCTAAAGCAAAGTTTAATGCATTGCACTGCATGTGCAAATGGATGGTTTGTGCTCATGACTCACACTGCGACATAGACATCATGGCTGTACCCTTGTACAGGCACACTGCGCGCATTGTGATGTTAGGATACATTAGCATTTTTTATGCATATCACAGAGTCGCAAACACGTTCAACTTGTGGAGGCCTTGCAATTGATAAAGGTCTTGCTGTACTCGAACTCCATCATGCTCCGCTTAAATGTGCGGGCGGCCGTTGTGGGAATGTCAAAAATGTAAACGGCTCGCGGATCACTTCACAATCACAGAAAGCTTCACCTCATTTTTGCATGGCTTCTTTCCAGGTTGCGCTTTTCTAAAATGATTCCCATGCCTTCAAAAGAAGAATCCAACTTGAAAAGCTCATCCGTTCAGAAGCCGGAAACCACGATGGCACCCAAAAAAAATATTGGTTGTGTTGTGTCTATAAAACAAATGCAGTGCATTTAATCACTGGAAAAGCTTCAAAGCACTTGAAGTTCTGGGCTTTCCTGCGCTACCAATCGCTGGCCTGAAGAGCGAGTTGTCTCGATGTGAAAGGTTGGAAATCTGGATTAGGATTCTTTGGCAAGGCATTGTTGCCAGACCAGACTTGTTAATAAATTGTGGTGTAAAGTTCAGCCAAGGCACATTCCCTCCGGCACAGCTTCCTTACAGAGAATCAATCAATGACAAAGAACCTGTACATGCTATGTATGCATATATATGTATGTATATATATATATAGCATTCCTCAATGACAAACAAATAGGTCCCCCTGCCTCCAGCGAGCTGAATCCTGATTCAGGAGCCTCGCAGAGCTGTTTGATCAAAAATCATGGCCAAACTGTGGCCAAAGGTGAGAGAATCACAAACATAGCTCCGACAAGTTCTCCGGACTTTGTGAACAAAGCTGGAGTTGTGGTACTCAATATAGCTCAACAATATGTATCAACCAGGCCAGGTGCTGCTTAGCTGCTTTGGCGGACAAGGGAGGAACTACTTGACAGTCGCCAGGGCACCGTGTTGTGACAATGTTTGTCTCCGATTTATGAACAAGGGAAAAATAACCAAAGAAACTCACAAAAAGAAAACGATTGAAGAAAAACACATGAAGGCTCAAAAAGAATTTTGAGTCTGGGGAGCCATGACAAGGCGAAAGGCGACAAACCCGCTTGACCCAAGAGTTCTATGCAGTACTAAGAACCCACGCCACATGGAAGATTATTCAAAACAATGTGTCACAGTGAAGATTAACTATCGAACCGGCAAGGCAAAAGGAAACGGAAGAACAAGCAAGTCACATGAGGACTAAAGGAAATCCCGCGAGAAACTATCAGTGACTACGTCTAGTATACAACGGATGAGTGTGATACCTGGGTCAGCAACTACGCCTCCTGCTTTGGGACCTGCTTGGCAGAATCAGGCTCCGTGGCCTGCCATCCGAGCGACTCTTCAAAAGCTGGTGTCTGTCGCTTTGATTTTTAACACCCAAGTGTCTGCAAAGTTCCACAGGAGGATTTGCCACAAACGAAGATGCATATTGCTAGACTCTAGACCCATTCATAGTGCAGCAAAGGCTCTGCTGTGCTGCAAGTAGATCTCGTGTCCTGCACAGAGAGCCTCTTTCACAGCCCTTTCGAGTTTCAAAGCCACTTACAGTGTTACAGGTATTGAATTGTATCGCAAAAAGTTTGGAGAAGAATCTGAGTGCGGAAGAAATGAGTGAAGCTTCTTGTGGGTTCAAATAGCAATGGGTTCGAAGCGCTCGCACTATTCATTTGATCCCTAGATTTTTGGTGGGAATCCAGAAGCAGCAGTGAGCATCATACCTCCTTGGGTGGAGGTCGGTATGCAGCGGGCTTTGGAGCCTCAGCATTGACTAGCCTACAAACACCAAGCACCTTGGTGAAATACCGGAAAGTTCTCTTCACTTCTTCGCTCTCATTTCTTGTTCTGGCTTCTCAAATGAGCGTTGTTCAAAACCTTCCTTTGGAGCGAACAGTCGTAAGGGGTGCTTACGCATGCAATTGCGCTTTGCTTATAGTACGGGAAACTGTTATAGACATAGAAGATATCAAAACATTTTTTCAAATAGAAGGCTGCCGTAGCAGGGCTCCAGGACAAATAGAAGCAAAATAGATCAAGATAACGGGTTGATAAACGTGCTCACCAACAGGTCTTCAAATAGAAGAAAGTGTTTCTTTTGCACAAATACACCTGAGCCCGCCCGCTCTTTTTTCCTCTTTCTCGCTCTCTCTCCCTTCCTGGCGAAGAAGAGAAAAGCAACATAAATACACCCGCGGTCATTTGACGTGGCTGCTCAAGTATTGTTCCGGCAGCTAGGTAAACCCCCTAGCTTCTCTTCTGCCTTCTGCTTCCCCTTTCCTTTCCACCTTTCCTTCCTTCTACCTTCTCTTTACCTTTACCTTCGGTTCTTTTACCTCCTTCCCCCTTCCCATTCCCTTTCCACCTTTCCTTCCTTCTACCTCCTCCTTACCTTTACCTTCCTTTCCTTCACCTCCTTCCCCCTTCCCCCTTCTCAGATTCTCCCTTCCCTTCTGCCTCTTTTCCCCTGCCTTCCTCCTTCCGCCTTCCTCCTTCCTCCTTCCCCCTTTCCCCACCCTTTCTCCTTTCCCTTCCCTTCTCTTCCTCTTCTTTGCCCTCTTCTATTTGACCTGGCCCTCTTCTATTTGAAACCCTCCCGGCGGCAAATTTCCATACCCTTCAAATAGAAGATTGGCACAAGCAATTTCTTCTATAATAGAGGCGCATACTATACGCGACTCACATTTCAGCTTACATGGATTGCAGGGGACATGACACTGAATTTCTCAAACATGTCTCAATAAATCTGATTGGTTTCGAAGTATCCCAAAAGTTGGACATAGAAGCAAACACGTGCAAACCCATGGAAAAGCAACACTTACGCACTTTACTTGCGCTAGTGCTTCAGCCAGAAACTGTTTATGCAACCTCGCGCAATTCAGGTGTTTGCTTCCGCACAGTGCCCGTATGTCCTTACTAAATATGACCATCAAGGTTTTGAATGATGCTCAAATATTGGTCTCAGTCCCTTGCACAAACCATACTGCTATGATCTCTGACTTTAGGAGCAGTACCTTTGCTTCATCCAGCGTGGCTTTAGCCACCTCCGCACAAAAGTCAAGCAGTAGGCTGGTTCCTCATCTAGCAATTTGGCAAAGACATTGACACCTTGTTGACCCGCGCCTGCGGGGCATCCTTTCCTTTCACAGCTCGCGGGGCCTGGCCTGGCCCAAAGATCCTTGGAAAGTGCAGTTGGCTGAATGGACATAGGAAGTTGGAGGCAAACATCCCGCCACCTCCGTGCAACTCGCAAAAAGAAATCTTGAAACTGCCTACAAAGCGGCGCTGTTACATGGACTCATTCCAATTTCAAGACATGATCAAATCCGATCAAAGAATTCACCTTGGCTATCCTAGGCTCGTGGGCACACCACTTGGTTGTGGGAGATCCATGGCTCGTCCCATCCGGCTCGACCCTGAAAGGTCTGCGAACCTGTGCTGGGAGAAGGATCGGAGTAGAGCAGCCTGATCTTGGATTCAAAATGCGACCACAAATCTACCCACCCTCACTGCCCTCACTGACATAAAACAAAAAAGAGGATTGCAACTCTTCTCTCGACAAAATCCATACTGCCAAAAAAGACATCAGTGCTGCCCATCATGAGGAAATCGCAGTGCGCAAACGTGGCTTTGCAGACCATTCCAGGCGCATGTTTCTTGAAGTCAAAGCAAAACTTTCCAACCTCGGGATCGCTGACCACTGCCCTCTCATCCACTGCAAAAGCTAATGCAAGAGAACTTCCCAAAATGATTCGTTTGTGCCCACGCGCCGAAGTTCCCTTCTGGCGTCCTGGCATATTCAATGAAACTATCCAAATTGGGCAAGGTTCCCGACCTTAGCAAAACCAAAACAATGAGGATGTACACCCATTTTTTTGCGCTGAAAGCCTCCCATGGTCGAAGCAAAGGCCATGGGAGGCTTGGAACAATTTTCGACACCACTTGGAAGCAGGCTTGGGATGGGAACTGTTTCATGAAACTAAGTTCAAAAAATGTACTGGCATAGAGACTTTATCGTGTCAATTCCTATCACAAGAGTATATATAGGCAAAAACAAGGTCTACAACCGCTTCTTTATTTAGAAACAATATTATGGCACACCCCTGTCAAAAATTGAGCCAAATATAGATTCGATGTCGCTCTGGAACACTTAAGGTCCTCACGTGCGCCAAGCAGTGCTGAAGGGCAGAATGCATCTCAGCCCACTGTTGTCAAGGCTATTGTTTTCAAACAAACGTTTCAATTTCAGAATACCGCTGCACACAACATTCATTCATGGAAAGCTCAGCTCCACCTTCAAGAATATACAAGAAACTGCACTTGGAGATTAAGGTGTCGTCAACAGCAGCACAGCACATCGCATGGGAGTGATGTTGTTGAAAATCGTGTAAATTCAAAGTTGCGTTGTGAAACATGATGCCGTTCTCCAACAAGCTGACCTGCGTACTAAGTGAACCATCAGTTCCCAGTCACAAGCTGGAACTATATGCTGACCACATTGGTACCCGCGATGCTAAACTGCGTAACGTCATCACAAAACAAATCGTTTGTCATCTTGTCTACCTCTGCGAGCACAGTGCTGAACAACTCGTCATCCGACAAAAAAATGGTCGACCAACAAAAACATGTGCCACAAACAGTTTTTTTCTGCATGTGTCCTGGAATTTAAACTTTTTGTGTCACAACAACCCACCCCAAAAATGGTGGACGCATACGCAAATTTTTGCATATATATGTATATGACTATATTGTGGTCATCTTTATATTTATATGTAAATGTATGTATGTATTTTTTTTCCTAGAGTTGCTTATGCTCAAGGCCGTTTTGGCCAGTTGGTGAGGGCCTTTGGCCGGTCAGGGCTCTGCGCTAGGCTTCAGGTTTGTTCAGAAGGTCTTGTGCATGTCGCTACCATCTCCTCAGAAGTACTCCACAGCATAGCCTGGCTGGTCATCTATGGTGTCTGACTCTTCGTCTGCTGGTCGGCTGGGGTTCATGGCCAAAGCAGACATACTCATGGCAAGTTCAGCTTGCTCTTGCTCGTCTAGTGCCGCTGGGAAGCTGAGTCTTCTTGGTGTCGGTCGTGAGGCAGACCCTGCTTCCTGAGCTGTCGGCTTCTGAGAGTGATCAGAGCTGTGGCTACTGGACTGTTCTGGCTTCTTTTTGAAGAAGTCGCTGATGGGCGGTGAGCCCTTGGCGCCAGCTCCCTTGCATGGTTTGTGGAGGGCTTGTGTGGCAATGAGACGGAGCTCACCATCCAAGTTCCACTGCATGCCGCATTGGGTACACTTCACCTTTTCTCCAGTGCGCCATAGTGCATGGCTGGGATGGCCTGAGTGAGGCTGAGTGTAGGCCTGGTTGACACATGGGCTCTGGATGAAGTTGTTGAAGGCGGCTTCATTGACTCGCTTGTGGATATTGATGCCACACACAAGGCATTTGAGGTAGCCCGTGGTTTCTGCCAGCTGGTGCTGACCCGGGGTTGGGTGTTCCGGTTGTTGATCCAGGAGGCTTTTGATGTGTTGAGCCCTGGTTGGCTTCCTGGTGAGGGGTGCTGGTGCTTCGGCTGAAATGGGTCCATCATCAATCAGCATTTGTGGGCAGTCCTCATTCAGCCTTGTCTCCAGTATCTCAGTCGTGAGGCTTTGGTGCATCCGGATGCCGCAGCAGCGACATTGAAAGCCACTTCTCTGGTGCGGCTCCCAGTGGTGATGGTTATCAGCCCACTGCTTTCGGCATCTGTTCACCAGCTCTTTTTTGTATTGTTTGGTGTGTTTGCCTTGATGCCGTGGTGCCTTCTGGTGCACGTAGTGCGTGGGGTCGGCATAAATCTTGCTCAGGCGGTTGACAGCATGCTCATAGATGAGCTGGTGGTCTTGGTCCAGGGTCGCTTGCCATTCTTCTTGTTTGGCATCATAGAAGGTTTTTGCCCGTTCCCACGCTGCTAGGGCTGCTTCTCGTTGTCTCCGTCGGAGCTGGGGCTCGTTGGCTGGGGCATCGGGTGTCCTTGTGTTCTTGCTGATGTAAAGTACCGTGACTCTGTGGTAGTCTTGGGGTGGTACTTCAGCAAGGAGGTCCATGTATGGGCCTCGGTGCTTCGGGTGGTTCCAGGCTTCCCAGACACTGACCAGCTGCACAATGACCTTGACTGGATCGGTGGTTTGATTGGCCAGTGTCACTAGTCCGGCAATCAATGCCCTGGTTTTGGTTTGGCTGCCGATGGGTACACCGGTGAGTGTGCCCAGCCTTTTGAGTTGTCCGAGCGCCATGGTATGAGCGCAAAGTCCAAAGACCCACATCTGACTTCTCAGGTCGTATGTGGAAGGTGTCGCATCAAGCGTGAAAGCCCACCCAGTGTGCTGCTGAAGGGGTATGACTGGTAGCCGTGTCCTTGCACCGGGTGGATTGCCGTTCTGGCATCCTGTGGCTCCAGCGGGATCCAGCCATGCGCCCAGAGGGGCTCTTCTTCTTGGTTGGTGATGCGGTTCATCCAGTCCGCTGGCATGGGATCGTGGTTCTGGTTCTTGTGCCACTTGCAAAGCCACAGGATGTGTTTTGGTGTGGCTGGGATCCCACATATAGGGCACGTTTTGGTCTGGTGTGCATCCCTGGTGTGGATGGCTGCTTGTACCCAAGTGTCCAGATTGTGTTGTTGTGGGGCTTTGAGCTTCTTTCTCACCTGGCGGTATGTGCGCCAGTCCAAACCTGTGAGCAGGTGTCCATAGTTTGTTCTGCTTGCCAGTCTGTTTGTGCGTTGCCATTGCGCCTCCTTGGTGAGGGTGAGCTCGATTTGCCACCATGGAGCTTGGAGGCTGATCTGTTGCGCTAACAGAAGCTGGGTTTCTGGTCGGCTCCAGTGTAGCAATTCTTGCGGTTGCCAGCCCCATTCGAGTAGGTACACAATGGTTGCAGCTAACGGCCCACGGACGCTGTACCAGGGATACTGCTTTTGCTGGAGTTGGTGGTAAGTCTGTCGCCAGGCTTGTTCCAGTGCTGGGAGTTGCTCGGGTGGCCACGCTTGGACCAAGTGGTGAATCGCCTTGATGTGATGGATCAAGACTTGATCACTGGGATCGATGTAGCGCTTGGCATGAATGTCATAAGTGACATCCAACAGGCCTCCCGTATGGTGTCCCAGGTGTTTGCCCATGCCATGGCGGAGGGCTGCACGGTAGCGTGGGGCCAATCCTTGACTCTCAACTCCCCACAGTGCCACCGGCTGGATGCCTCCTCTGTGGAGTCTCAGGCGGACCTTGAGGGCTGGAATCTTCAAGCTACGCAACTTGACCTTGCGAGCTGTGGCCTTCTTGATGCGCTGCTTCATGACCGGGATGCGTCGTTTCCTGGCTGCTTGGTGGTCAATGCCCAGATCCCGCATGACCGGTGCTACTTGTGGTTCATCATCTTGCAGGATGGCTTTTAGCTCGCGCTCAGTGGCCTTGTCGGTGGCCACAAAGGCAGTCTTCTTGGGGTTGACCTGCAGGCCCAGTTCCTGAAGTCGCTTGCGTAGGTCCCTGTAGGCTTCGACTGCTGCAGTGGCTGCTTGGTGGGCTGTGGGTCTGGCTGTATCGAACCCTACATCATCTACCCAGCTGGATAGGTGGATGGTGGGGTGTTGCTGCTGCCATGGTTGAAGGGCTGGTGCTAGGACTGCCTTCGCAAGCAGTGGTGCCTGGGGGCAGCCAGCCGGCACTCCGTTGGTCACCGTGAAGAAGGGAGTCATCTCTTGCTCGGCAACTATGGCTTTGGGTCCATGGTAGACCTGGAGTGCCATTTCCAGCATGAGCGGAGGGTAGCTGAGCCGGAGTGCCTCAATCTCGAGTCGTTGGAGATTGATGGTGTCATAGAACGTTGACATGTCCATCAGGCAAGTCACTCCGTGCCGGCCGTTGGCTCTGTGGACCTCTTGCCGCAAAAGCCGCTCCAAAGCCACGTACAGCACAGTGGCACCTGGTCTGGCGCGGTCATGGTTCATGGCTGGTGGTAGGTGGTGTTGCCAGTCATCCAACAGAGGCTTGCGGAGCCTGCACCATACCCGGTACAACAGTGAGGTCAATGTGATGGGTCTTTCTTTGGCTTCATTTTTGGGAAGCATGACCACCATGTGCATCTGCTGTTGTGTGGGAAGTTGGACCCTTTCTTCCATCTCTTGATAGAGTGTCAAGAGGGCTTTTACCGCCAATGGTGGAGCTGTGCGCAGCAGTTGAGCCGTCACTGCATCAGGGCCGCATGCCTTGTCAGGAAGGTGGCGCAGAGTCCATGTCAACTGACTAAGAGTGAGTGGCTCGAGCTGTCGGGCTTGTTCTCTCGCCAGGCTGTGGAGATGGTCTCTGGCTGGTGGCCTGTCATCTTGGTTGATTTGCCAGAGCTGCCCCCAATCAGTGAGTCGTTGGGTCATACGTTCATCCGGTGGCAAGGTCCTGTAAGGTCTCTCCCATGCCAGTTCACTGCTGCGGAGACTGTGGAAGAGTCCTTTTAGGCCTTTGGTGTAGCCTTGGGTCAGCCAGGCCTTGTATTGGAGATGGCTCTCGTCATTGGCCGCTTGTTGTGCCAATTGAAGTTGATGATCAATGGTGCGATGGACCAAGTCGGCAGCATGACTGTCTTTGTATTTGTGCCAGTGGTGACAGGTGTCGAGAAATTGGCCCCATGTCGGCGTGCCAACCCAGTGGTGCGGTGCATCAGCTATTGCTTGCATGAAGCTGTTGGAGTGCAAGCCGGAACCTGGCCCGCAGTTGTTCTCAGTAGGCTGGTCTGCCTCGTTTCCACGTGGTGGTGGTGGTGATGGGTGCAAGAGGCTTGTGACTTGCCCGGAGGTTGGAACCTCTGCCTTGTGCAGCCCATGGATGTTCTTGTAGTAGGTATTGTTCCGTGCAAGATATCCAATCCGCCCAAGCTTGGGCCGTATCATTGACTGGGTTGCCATACAGGTCCAGTTCATAGGCTGTGGATGTGTAGGTGGTCCAAGGCCGGAAGTCAATGTCCGGTGTGGCTGGGAGCGGCGGGAAGTACTGGATTTGCCTGTATTCTTTGGTGGCTTCTTCAATGTTGAAGTGGTACGAGATGAGTGCATGCGGCCTCCAAGGTACAGCCCAGTCGGTAGTGATGGAGGTGGCGCCGGCCAACTGGTTATGGATCAAGGCATAGTCAATGACATTGCCGGACAAGAGGCTGGCATCTGGCGAAATGGAATTTGGAGGGCAATACCGTGCTGGTGATGCTGCCAGGGCTGTTTTGCCAATCTCCCAAGAGAACGAAGGGGTGGTTGGTAGCCTGAACGAGGGCTAAGAGTCGGGCGAGGATGGTGGCATTGGCATCACTTTGCAATGTTTCACCCGTCTTCATGTAGGTGCCTGCCACAAGGA